AGACATGGGAAGTACCTATGATATATTGTTAAACAAGGGGGGAAAACAGTTTATATAAGATATGTGACAGCATGTATAGCATGACTTCATTTCTGTAAAATTGTCCAAAGGCATTGAGAAATACCTCCAAGAATGTTAACACTTGTTATCTTTAAGAGATGGATTTTGAGTTACTTTTACTTTCTTTTTAAAAAATTTTTTCTGTAATGTTCGATTTTTTAAATGTACATATCTTTTTATTTTAAAAGTGAGTTTCAAAAAAATACATCTTATGTTTGTCTTTGTATATACTAGAAAGTATCTGGAAGGTTTCACATGACATAGGTTTGAGCAGCTGCTGCTAGGCAGTGGGTTTGTGTGGGCAGAGTGGGAAGGTACTTGTACTTTGAGTTTTTTCTTTATTCTATTCTCTACTCTTTGAATTTTTATGACAGTATTACTTTCATAATAAAACAAACCACACTAATGAAAACAAAAAAGAAAAGAGAGCTATTGTTAACACCCAAGCCAGCCCTGTCAACCCCTGCCAGTCCCTGCTTCTGCCCAGCCCAACCCAGCCCACCAAGCTGCACTGAAGCCCTTGCTGACTTCACAAGCAGCCCACTCAAGTCATGCCAGACCTCCTCTGGCTGAGGAGCTTTTGAGCTGCAGAGCCAGGGCCAGTAGTTGGGCTGCCAGGGAGGGAGCTCCTCCTGCTCCTGGGTGATGCCTTGAGCCAAGAGTAATATCTCACCCTCACAAAGCCTGTGGCTGTGGGCTCCCCCACTCTCTGTGCTGGAAGGAGAGGCTAGCTCCCCAGAAGGCCCAGAGAGAAGCCACTAACACAGCGAAGAGCTGAGTCACTGTCAGAGGTGGCAAACTCCAATAATGAACCTGTGTTTCTAACAAAGTACTTTTAAGTCTGTAAAGGTCAGAGATAAGAAGAAATAAGTCTGCAAAATCAGAAAATGTAGAGGTGGCAAAAGTGAACTCTTCTACAACAAACTCGTATGGCAAAATCTGGGGTCACTCTGAACTGAGAAAGAATTAATCTGATCTAGAACAGAGACTTCACATGGCAGGGATTGGATGCACATGTAACTGTCTATAGTTGTGCTTTTCTTGAAGGCCACCTTTCTTGAAGGTGAGCTTTCTCCTCACTATAGCCCCTCTGAGCAATCGGAGACTGCCACATCAACATACATGCTCTCTTCAAGGAGCACATCATGTGGTCGTCATGTGGTTTTCCTCTGTCTCCCGCACAGCCTGTGACCTCTAGAAGACAGAAACCAGCAACCGTTCCTCCCCTGCCTCTTTGTAACAGGCATGGGTCCTGGTACACAATAAGCACTCAGTAAATGCTGGAGCAATGGAATGCGATCCTCTCCAGTATAGAAAGAAAACGGAGATGACATTTTGCAAATGCTCGGGTTTCAAAACTCAAGATAGAGGGTGACAACTGGGTGTCACCCAGAATCACTGTCCAATCTGCAGTGGCCCAGCATGTCCATCAAACAGGTGGCACACAGGGCTCGGCTCACACTGCTGGGTTCTAGGCCAAGGCAGTCTCCTTAGACAAGTGGGTCCTTCCCTAAGGAACACCTTGGAGGTGACATTCTCTTGAATATATACTTTCTCTTTAATAAAACAGCAGCACAAAACAAAAACTGAAACCCAGTCGTGGCCCTTCATAGCACCCTCCCACCTCCATCACACTGTGGATGGCAGAGGAGCCAGCTGTTAGCTCTCCTTGCACGATTACTGCATTGGGCCACTCTTAACGTCTGTGTGAGAATAATATTTATTCACAAGTAGGTGCCCAGTAAATATGTGGTTTTATTTCTTTTTTTCTTCTTTTTCAATTTGTTTCTTCTAACAGGATACAAGACAAACAGCCAGTTTGCTTGAGTTTTAAAAGGATATTTCCTTTGCCCCACTTGAATAACCAACAGAGACATAAGTCCAACTGACAAACTGAAAAGGAGTGTGTTTTAAAAACAGGTTAAATTGTGCTTTTTAAATTTACATTTTAAAAGTCAAAATTATCAAACTATTGAAATTATATAAAATGATATAAGTCACCCCAGAAGGTGTTCTCTGAACCCCAGCCCTTGCCCCTCTCCTTGTGATACAGGACAGAAGGAAATGACACTTGGAGGTAGGCTTCAGGTAACCCACGTATATGTCCCAAGTGCCTGCCTTGTGCCAAGCCCATGTCCCAGGTGGCTCTGGTAAGGGAGACAAAAATGCCCAAGATGCTTAACAAGTTACTGAGGGAAGAGCGAGTGTCAGAGGAAGAGGAGCCACTGGGATGGGGTGAGAGCTAATGGGGAGAGGTAGGGGCATTGGGGAGAAATTGAAAGAGGTGGTCCTGGGAAGAGTAGGATGGAGGGGAGCCTGGAGATGCTTCCTTGAGCTTCAGGTCCAAAAGAAGGAGGACTCAGAGGTGGAAGGTGAAATCATGTTGTCTTGGGGTGGCTAAGAGCTCCTTCAGGTCACAGGTCTTGGTCCCTTGGCTATGGACACAAGGGACATGAATTGCTCTGTTAATAACTGCAAAACGGAAGAGAGACAGAGAGTGAAGAAAGGAAGAAATCTGCTGTCAGTGAAATGCCACCATCAGATCAAGGCTTTTTGTAGCTTATTCCTACATGTAAAAGTTGGACTCAGTTTTTTTTTAAGACAAATGTCTTTTTTTAAATTATATTTCCCCAGGGGAAAAGGTAGGGGGGAGGAGAGAAGGGCCAGCATGCGCTTTAAAATAGAGATAAGAATATCAAATGCCATAAACCAACCTTGAAAAGGGGATGGCTCCTGCTCCATGAGCTTGAGAAGGAGGAAAAGGGGTCAGGAAAATGGCATGGGTGGGGCTCCTTCCATGTGAAGTCAAAACTCTACATCAAGCTAAGTAAATGTGGAGTCACATTTGTCTGCCTTCTATTAGCTCATCTTGTGGCCACTTTGATGTAGGTTTCTTGCACCAACAAAAATGTTCCTATGTGGCTGGGACATACTTTCATATCCCTTTTTCCTGGCTTCCACTCCCAGCTTTGGCATGGGAGGCCCCCACCAGCCCTCTGCTCCCTCTGTCTAAAGGGGTTAAAATGTTTGGCCCATCCCTAGAGAGAAGGACAGATGCTTGGTGTGCATTAGAACAAAGAATGGGAATGAGAGAGAGAGAGAGAGAGAGAGAGAGAGAGAGAGAGAGAGGCAGCCTGCTTGCTTCAGTTACTTGAACAAATGTTTTATTCAGAAATTAGAGAAGCCATTGGAAATAACTGAGAAAGGGGATGGGATAGGAATCCAGTCTGAGGGGCAGATAATAAAATTGGTTTGGAAGATAATGAGACTGAGGGCCCCATGTAACAACCAAAGTACCAGAATATTATGGGGCTGGGGCTCAGAGGGACTGTTCATGGCAGAGGCCAAGTGTGTCGGGGCAGAGGCAGCTTTTGATGGCCCCCGAAGGCCACAGAGGGCATGGTGTGTATATAGAATGATAAGGAAGGCCAGGGAGAAGCTCTGCCCAGCTCCATGAGGAAAGAGCCTGCAAAGAAGGGGTCAGAGGTCAGGTGATAGCAGTTACATTTGTTAAGGCTCATCTGGTAGCAAGAAACATAAACCTATTAAGCCAGCTTGAGCATGGAGAGTGAGCATGGCAGAGGGGAAACGGGATGCCCACTGGGTATGACCTGCTTGTTCTCAAAATGTTACCAAGAGCCATTCTCAAACAATTTTTTTCCCACTAAAAGCCAGGTAGTTTTCTAACCCCTGGCTGAGAACTCAAGACATCAAATACTCTTACAGTCTAAAGACAGCCAGCAACAGTTGTGGCCAGATACCTTCCACCAAGATATACAAAAGGTGGCAATATAAGCTTCAAAACACCCTGTGAGGTGAATATTATGATTATTCCCATGTTACATATGAGGAGACTGAAGCCTACAGTCACAGCTAGCAAGTGGTGGATTTGAGCCTCGCTGTCTGGTTACAGAGCCTGGACTCCTAACCTCCATGTCTATTACCTCACTGAGTTCAGACTGCTCAATTAACCAGTTACATGCAGAATCAGGAACCAGGGGGCGTTTGTGGGAGCCGTGCTAGTCATACTAATAGTGAGGCTGATGTTTATTGTAGGATTACTATGTGCCAGGCACAATGCTAAGTGCTTCAGTTAGTGAGTGTCCTAGGAAAATCCTCTTTGGGGCTTGGTCCCCTTTTTCCTGCCGTTTTGTAAGGAGGCTTTCTTCCTTTGGTCAAAATTAAATTATTTGAATCCTGAAGCTTTAAATACGAGAGACTGATGCAACCTACTGTTTATGCCAGAATTTAAACATCTGTACAATATGCCACATTTGAAAAAGAAGCATGTGATTGGCTTTTATCTATATTTCCATATTTCTAAACAGATCAGATGATGACTTGCATTTGGGCAGCCTGACTTTGAATATCTGACTGCTTACAAAGAAAGTGAGGACTACACCTCACCAGCCCCTCCAGGAAATGCCCCATGCCTGTCTGTCTTTGGTGAGGAGGCAGGGGGAGATGGTGGCTCAGCTCCAGCTGAGCCCTCTGGTAGAAGTGTTGCTGCTTCTGAGAATGAGCAAGGCAGAACTGATCCTGTGGACCCCAAACTGCCCAAGAGAATCCACCCTTGTTCGCCACAGGTTGTCAGCACATTCTGGGCCCTGCCTGGAAGCCAGAAAAGCAGTGACTCCTTTCCTCCGCTATAGGTCCGAATGCTACAGTGGTTAAGATGAGGACATTGAAGCTAAGAGCCATGAGGTCATCTTCTGAGGAGTGGCGGAGCTGGGACAGCAGTCCAAGGCAGCCAGAGCCTTTTAGGAAACTAACTAACTTGCCCCAGAAGACATAGTTACCTGGCTCTGAAAGCCCTAGAGGGCACCAGATGCAGAGAGAACTTTTGAAATATACACATGCCCAGGGTCTTCCTGCAGAACTCCTAATTCTCAGCTTAGAAATGAGGTCTAACAATTCACATCTTTAACAAATGTCCCCAGAGATCAGGTATGCTGCAAAGATTGAGGACTGTGACTTCCAAGTGAGGCGAGGATTTTCAGGAGAGTAATGCAAGCAGATGTGAGGTCAAGAACCTTCTTCAACTCAGATTCTCAGCCTTGGGCCCTGTGGCATGAAGGCGTCTAAGATACCAAAGATATGAAGGTAAGTGAAGGATGTGCACACTGAATTAAAATGCATTTCATTAGAAAGTTTGACTGTTGGTGTGCTACTGTTCTCAAATTGAATTTCACCACTTACATTAATACCACTGGCTCTGCAAGACTTGTTTGTAATTGCACCCCTGCACCAATACCCTCAGTTCTAATATAACATTCTTTGCCTATGGTCACTTGGCTAATATTTTGTTGGGTTTTTGTTTTGCTTCGTTTCTTTTTGCATTTATGCTCATCAGTGGGATTGGTCTGTCATTTTCCTTTTCCATTCTGTTCCTATTAGGGAGCCTTCCTTCTTTTCCTAGTCTCTACATTATATTCTTTTTGTAAGACTGGAATCTTTTCCTTGAATGGTTGGTGGAATTCACTACTGAGACCATCTGGGCCTGGAAGTTTTGTCTGGGGGGAGGTGCATCAGTCAGAGTTCAACCAGAGAAACAGAATCAGTAAAAGACATATAAAGAGATTTGTTGCCAGGAATCGGCTACATGATGGTGGGGGCTGGCTAAGAAGTCTGAAATCTGTAGCACTGGCTGTGAGGAAGGGCAGGCAGGAACCCTCTCGCAGGAACTGTGGAAATTCCTTCCACAGGAGGAATTTCTTCAAGAAAGCCTCAGCTCTGCTCTCAAGTCTTTTCAATGAATTGAATCAAGGTCACCTAGATTATCCAAGATAATCTCCCTTAAAGTCAATTGATTATGGGTTTTAATCACATCTATAAAATACCTTCACAGTAACACCTAGAAGAGTGTTTGATGGAGTAACGGGACTATAATCTACTCAAGTTGGCACATAAAATTGACCATCATGAGGTTGGGAGGCACTTTTAACTGCTGACTGAATTTTTAAAGGGTTCTTGTCAAAGAACAAATTTTGGTTTTGTCAATCCTCTCTCATATTTTTTCTTTTTCATTAATTTCTGTCCTTATCTTTATTAATTCATTATTTTTCTTCAGATTAATTGCTCCTTTTTTTCTAATTTCTTGAGAGGGATACTTAGCTCATTAATTTTAGTCTTTTCTCTTTTTCAACCACATACATTTATGGCTAAAATTTCCCTCTAAGCATGATCTTGACTGTATTCCACAAATTTTGATATGTAGTATTTTCCTTATTAAAATATTAAAAATATTTTAAATTTTCCATTATGGTTTTTGACCTATAGCTATTTAGAAACATGTTACTTAATTTCCAAACAAACCAAGATTTTCCAGCTTTGTAGCTTAATTTCATTTTTGTTAGAGGGTATACTCTACATGATTTTAGTCCTGTTCCCTGTTGATATTTTTTGAAATTTTCATTTATTTTCTTAAACGTTGTAACTGTAGCTCTTTTATAGTATGTATCTGATAAGGAATAGTATTTGGGAGACATCTGCCATAGGTGAACCTAAGAAGGTGGGTGAGAGCTGAACTGGGGAAGATATTGAATATCTCTCTACAGAGCTAGGACATGTTGGAGGTCAACACTGCCTGCCCTTTAGTCACTTGCATGCTATCTGCGCTGTCTTTTGCCATCCCTAAGTATCTCATGTACAATTATTTATTATTAAAATAGAAGGTTTAACAAGCAAGCATTTGAAGATCTAATGAAATGCTAGTACCACAGTGCAAGGCAGTAGGAAAATGACAGACTTTCCAATAAATATCTGTAACACGACATTAAAAACATTTTTAAAAATATATATATCTTTATTGATTTCAGAGAGAGGAAAGGAGAGGGAGAGAGAGATAGAAACATCAATGATGAGAGAGTCATTGATTGAGCCCACAACCCGGGCATGTGCCCTGACCAGGAATCGAACCCTGATCGCCTGGATCCTAGGCTGACACTCAACCACTGAGCCACTCCCAGCCGGGCAAAAACATTTTTGTTATCAGTTTGCAATCATCATTGCAAAAATCATCAATGGATGCTAAATCTAGTGGAGAGGGTAGGTTTTATGCAAATTATTTGCATGGTTTTGAAGTATCTCCTAAAGGTTGCTTATTAGTTATAAGGGGGAAAATGTAACTATACAGGGAAGAAATTGGTTATCACTTTGGTCAATCCAAATTAATGTTATCTAGATGATGCCCTTCCAAGAACACATCACTTAATTGGGTATCCATATGAAAAATAATGTCTATGGATCCCTACTACATATCACATCATACTCAAAATTAGTTCCAGACAGACTGGACAGCCAGATCTAAAGGTAAAAGGTAAAACAACAAAGTTTTTTGAAGAAAAGCATAAGAGAATATCTGTAAACTTAGAGTAGTCAAAGATTTCTTAAACACAACATTAAAAAGTGATGCCTATAAAATGAAAATTTGATAAATTGACATAAAAATGAAGAGATTGTGTTCATCCAAACACAATGTTAAGAAAGTGAAAGGGCACCCCAAATGTGGTAGAAACTCTTCTCAATACAGAATTCCAATGAAACACTCAACTAGAATATAGCAAAGAAGCAAAGAAAGAAATAAACAGTTACTATAAACCAACAAGAAAGATAGATAACCCGATAGGAATGAGAGTAAAAGAGAGTAAAAGCTACTTCACTAGAGAGCATAGCCAAATGGTTTAACATATGAAAAGGTGTTCATTCTCATTAGTTCTCAGGAAAATAAAAATTAAAACCATGAGATCTAAAATTAAAAAGACAGAAAATACCAACTGTTGGCAAGGATGTGGGGGCAACAGAACTCTTATACATTGCTGAGAGGAGAGTAAATTGGTACAACCACTTTGGAATATAGTCGGGCCTTCTCTGTTAAAATGGAATATACATGTTTTGTCACCCAGCACCCCCACTTTCAGGTATTGTTATGAGTTGAATTGTGTCCCTTTAAAATTCATATATTGAGGTCTTTACCCATCCTGTACCTCCGAAAGTGACTGTATTTGCAGATAGGGTCTTTACAGAGGTAATTAAGGTAAAGTGAAGTCACTGGAGTGGGCCCTACTCCAATATGACTTTTTATAAGAAGAGATTAGGACACAGACACACAGAAAAGAAAAAACATATGAGGACACAGGGAGAAGATAACTATCAACAGTCCAAGGAGAGAGGCCTCAGATGGAATTGAACCTGCCAACACCTTGATCTTGGACTTCCAGCATCCAGAACTGGGAGACAATGCATTTTTGTTGTTTAAGCCATCCAAAAACCATGGTAGTTTGTCATGGCAGCCCCAGGAAACTCATACAGGCATACACTCAACACAATTGCATATATATGTTCAACAAAGACATACACAGCAATAGCACTATTTATAATAGTCCAAAGTAGCCCCAGTGCCTGTCAGAGTAGACAGAACAAGTAAGTTGTGGTGTCTCCATGTACTATAATACTCCACAGCCAGGAAGAATGAACTACAACTACAAACACACACAAGAGCACCAAATTCTGAGTTTTGTTTTTCATAATCTGAAATATTGGAAAAGAATTAAGCAGGGATGGCCTTCCTTCCTTTGTTATTGAACAATGATGGCTTTTGCACCACAGGTAATGTTCCAGCCCACCTGCTGGGACACACAGATGAGAGTAATAGCAGACCTGCTTGTTGCTCAGAGTCCCTGGCTATTGGGTAGAGGATGAAGGGGAGTGTGAATGGAGTCAGGGAGACCTGGAACAGGGCTGTTGCTATCATCTAGGTTCATTCATGGCAGAATCAAAGGCAGAACTCCAACCCCAGTTCCCTGATTCTGCACACCTGAACCTGTGCACTGTCTATCTACTAGGGACCCTGGTGCAGTCAGGACAGCTCCAGCCCATGACCTGCAAGCCTTGTTCTGAATCCCTCCCCACTCTGACTTGGGACAGGCTCCTGTCTTTGGCCCTGTAAGCAGCTACTTGCCCAATTCAAGTTCTGCTCACCCTCTAGGGTCTTGAACATAAAAGGCAGAGAAATTCTTCTTCTGGGTTCTACAAGGCAGGAGGTACACAGGTCCTGAGGGTCATTCTGTGGAATATTTGAAGGTACATCTGAGTTTTTGTAGACTTTTGTTTAGAGCTGTCAGTAAACCGTTTCAGCAATGTGGGGCAGTGCAGAGGTATGTGGTACACACAGACACACACACACACATGCACACACATGCACACACATACGCTTAATCACAGAAACCATTTGGGTTGTGTGTGCTTGAGGAGTCCCCCACAGCTGGCCATTCTGAAGCCCATGGAACTGAGAGGGGTAAGGGACCTCCCTGACCAATGTTCCGTGGAATGGTTGTGAAAGGCACAACATGTTACCACAAGAAGAGGCTGATAGCCCAGCAGTTACCTGACTTTGCTTGTGGCTAGATCTGGGCACAGAATGGAGATGATGTCATTAGAGCTTCACATTATTTCATTCAATTAACCAAGAGTTAATTAGTATGTCCAAAGTGCTTTGAAGCCTAGGAGCTCTGTTTATTCACAATTGGGTGGAAGCAGCAGGCCAGGAGAGGCAGTGCAAGGGGACTGACATTGAAATGGGAAGATGGGCAGGCCTCTGCCTCTGATTTGCTGTGAGCCTACTAGGAGACGCTTGTGAAAGTGCCTGTCGGATTGTCTTGGGGCTACCACAATAAAGTGCCATATACTCGGGGGCTTAAAACAACAGACCTTTATCCTCTTCCAGTTCTGGAGTCCAGGAGTCTGAAATCAAGATGTTAATAAGACCACTCCTTCAGAAGCCTCTAAGGGAGGATCATTCTTGCCTTTTCCAGCTTCTGGTGGCCCCAGGCATCCCTTGGCTCATGGCCACATCACTCCAATTTGTGCTTCCATCTCCACATGGTTTCCTCCCATGTCTGTGTCTTTGTTTTCTCTTCTTACAAGGGCACCATCATATTGCATTAGGGCCCATTTGAATTACCTCATCTTAACTTGATCACATCTGCAAAGACCTCATTTCCAAATCGGGTCATATTCACAGGTATCTTTTTGGGGGACACAATGCAACCTATAACAGTGCCCATCTGATCTCCAGTGGCCAAAAAGTGCTTCATTCCTGTGAGTTTCCTTCCCTCACTCTTTTTTTTTTTTTTAATTTTAATTTTTGTTTAAAATATTATAGATGTCCCTTTTTCTCCCTAATGGCTCATTCCACCCCGTCCCTTCCCCCTCCCCAGTCCCTCTCCCCACCATTGTCCGTGTCCTTGGGTTGTGCATATATGCATATAAATTCTCTGGTTAGTCTCTCCCCCTCTACCCACCCGCCCTCCTCCATCCCTCTGACATTCATCAGTCTCATCTATGCTTCCATGTCATTGAATCTATTCTGTTCACTCTTTTCCTCAGCACAGGAACCTGGGAGTGACTGAGAAGACCAAAGGCTTCTAGAAAGAGCTGGACAGAAGACTCCAGGAGGGGTTTGTCACTGTAATAGCTTTTCTTTCATGAATAGGTTTTTCTTCTTGAACGAATCTCACCTCTCCCTCAGTTTTGGCCCCTTATCTGAACAATGGGAGTGCTGGCTTATATGTCCTCACTCAGTTCAAACAGTGGAGGAGGAAATTTAGACTGAGGAGGTGCTAGAGTTTGGCCCCAGAAGCCTGCTGGGTAGGGCCTATTCCCAGACCATGAAATTGGGTCCTGGAGGATTCCTTTAGCCATGGGTCATTTGTTTTCTCTTTGCTAGATTCTCATGCCAGTGGGCTACAGCAGTGGGGGACTCCCCTGGTTAACCCCCCAAGGCCTCCCTGCCTTTCCTTCAATTCCCTTCAGCTCAGCTTTGTGGAGCACTAATGTTGAATGGGAAGAGGTAGGTTCCAGGGTGCCAGTGCCTGTGCTGGCATGCAGGGGTCACAGAGAGATTTTGAGCAGGCCTTGTCTTGGAGGACTCCTCAGTCTGGAGGGAGGCAGATACAAGAGCCAAGCATGTTGGACTAACTGTCATCAGTGGAGGAGGCCCTGAGCAGGCACAGTGGGAGCCTAAGGGAGAGAACAGTGGGAACTTCACCTGGCCTGGTTGCCAGTCCAGTAGAGACTTGTAAGAACCAGTCAGGCAGAGGGCAGGAGGCATTCTAGAGAGAGCCCTCAACATGCTGCCGCTAGCAATGTGCCTCCTAGGCTAGTAGGTGTTTCCTCTACAGTTTCTGAGTGGACTGCTCATGGAGCGCCTGGTCCAGAGAGGCTATAGATGTCAAAGGTTATCTTGGGCCCCTCCACAATAAAAGCAGCCTCTCAGCACCCAGTGGTCTGAGTGATAACTGGCTTTGGTGACCTCTGGAGCCCTTAGTTCTGCAGTGGCATTGGATGCCCTCTGCTGAACTGCGAGCAGTGCCTTGGAGCCTTGGGTCCTATCCCTGCTTCTCACTCAGGGCCCAGTCAGGCTTGGTCTTGGTTCCACCTGAGCCTATGTTGGGAGCCACTTTGGTTGGCTATGAGTAGATGGCCTTTGGCTGGGCAGCCTTAACTCAGCCTCTGACTTCACTCTTCCATACCAGGCACAAAGAGGCATGTCCAAATCCCAGTGTCTCCCCTCCCAGGACCCAAGGCCCAGTCTGAGGATCAGAGGTCCTAGTCTTGGGCCTGGAGGCAATGCTGGGACAAACCACTGGCTCACCTGGGCCACAGGCTTTTCAGGCCTTGCTGAACCAGCTCTTCAGACCCACCCATATTCCTCAGCACCTTCTAACCCAGCACCATTCTATTAGTGACCTCTGCACAAATTTTGCAATTATGAGTTAGTGCCAAACTAGCCCAGTGAGTGATTAGAATAGTATTTGGCAGATGGCTGCAGGGATCCAGCACAGTTTGCTCAAAGCACTTGGCCTGTCAGAGGTGAGTTGGAGCATTGGGTAGGTAGTCCTTTGGTGCTCTACCCAGGGGCTTGCCTCCCCCAGAGAGCTCAACAGAGGCTAGCACGCCTTGGATTCATGGCTGTGGAGCCTGTTGGAACTTGTCTGATCTTTGATTCCCCTTTTAGCTGGAGGCCTGCTTTGTACCTGGGCCCCAATAACTTTTTTCCATGTCTCAGCTGCTTGCTCAGTACCCTCTTACAGTGCATCTGCCCATATTGACCAGGCTTCAGACTCTATCTGGCCACATATGAAGCTAGTTGCTTCACTACCTTGTACTCAGGTTCAGATAGAACCTGATGCTTGACTGGTTTTGCCAGGACACTCCCGCCCTGCTGACCATTGACCCAGAGAGGTCCCTTTCTAGATAGCATGTACCTTATTAGCCATTGTGGTAGGTTGAATAATGGCCCCCAGAGATGTCCACATCTTGAGGAGAAGGTGATATGGCAATGAAAGCAGAGATTGGGGTGATGCACTTTGAAGATGGAGGAAGGGGCCACAAGCCAAGGCTCACAGGAGGCCACTAGAAGCTGAAAAAGGCAAGAAAATGGGTTTGCCCCTCAGAGTTTCCAGAAGCAACCAGTCTTGCTAAAACTCTGACTTTATCTTAGTGAAACTGATTTTGGACTTCTGGCCTCCAGAACTGTAAGAGAACACATTTGCATTGTTTTAAGTTACTAAGTTTGTGGCGATTTTAAAATAATCACCACAGGAATCTCATACATCCAGTGTTCTCACTCAGGGAAGAGGTAAGGAAGGGGCTTAGGTCTCTCAGGATTATCCTTAAAGAGTGAAAGGCCATTGGGGAAAAGAATGTTGGGTCAGAGGGCCGCCAGCCTGGGTTGAGGCCCAGTTCTGCCCCAACCAGAGAAAGCCCTACCTCTACAGGCTTTGAGCTTCCCTGTACAAAATGGAGATCATAATAAATGGACTTGCCACGAGGATCAAAGGAGAGAACACTGGTCCATGTGTTTGTCCATCTGTATATTTGGGAATGTGCTGGCTGAAGAGGTGCTGAACAAAAGCCAGCTGTCTGCCAGGCTTCCCATAACTCTGCTCCTGTCATCTCACCCAGCATTCATCTTTGGCCTTTTCTCTAATCCCCTCCTACTAAAACCATTCAACAAACTTTAGCATGACTAGCATAGTCTGGGGCGGGAGCTGAAGGGGTCCCCAAAGTCTAAGAAAATATGCCCTTGACAAGGCCACCATCAAAGAAGAATGTGTAGGGGAAGATGAAGAAAGGATACAAGTTTCATGAATAGGTCATGGAAATCTGCCTTGAGCACAAATGTACCACCAACTGGATGGTGCTCGCTGCCTCATGCTGCAGCCTCCCTGTGACCATGTAGCCCATTTGCAACCAATTGTGATTCTTCCATTAATGACTACCTCCCCTTCCATTGCTGGACCATGAGCTCCACAAGGGCTCTTATCTAGACTGTTCACTGCAGTGCCCTTGCCACTAGCACAAGGCCAGTTACACAGGAGGTACTCAGAACATATTTGTGACTGTTAGACCTTAGGGACACTTCCCTATTCACTGTTTGGGCATCTACTCTTGGCCTTTAGCCTCCTCAACTTCTCTGCACTGACTAATACACTGACCACTCTCTCAATTTTTCATCCCCTCATCCCTAGCTTTCTTTGATGCCTTAGTTTTGAGTTCATATTTAAAAAAAAAATTCTCTTTATTGCTGAAAATATTAAAGATGTCCACTTTTTCCACCATTGATCCCCTCCACTCCACATCCACCCCAGGCCTTCCTCATACCAATGTCTGTGTCCATAAGTTATGCATATAAGCATATAAGTTCTTCGATTAATCTCTCCCCACCCACTCCCCCACCCTCACCTTCCCTCAGAGATTCCTCAGTCTGTTCCGTGCTTCTATGTCTCTGGGTTCATTTTGTTCATCAGTTTATTTTGTTTATTATATTCCACATATGAGTGAGATCATGTGGTACTTGTCTTTCTCTGACTGGGTTATTTCTCTCAGCATAATACTCTCAAGTTACCTCCATGCTGTCTCATAGGGTAAGAGATCCTTGTTCTTACAGCTGCATAGTATTCCTTGGTGTAAATGTCCCACAGCTTTTTTACCCACGCAACTACTGATGGGCACTTGGGCTGTTTCCAGATTTTAGCTATTGTAAATTGCACTGCTATGAACATAGGGGTGCATAAGTTCTTTCTGATTGGTGTATTGGGTTTCTTAGGATATATTCATGGAAGTGGGATCACTGGGTCAAATGGCAGTTCCATTTTTAATTTTTTGAGGAACCTCCATACTGTTTTCCATAGTGGCTGCACCAGTCTGCATTCCCATCAGCAGTGTACTAAGGTTCCCCTTTCTTCATATCCTCGCCATCACTTGTCCCTTGTTGTTGCTGACTTGTTGATGGTAGCCCTTCTGACAGGTGTGAAGTGATACCTCATTGTGGTTTTAATTTGCATCTCTCTGATGATTAGTGACTTTGAGCATTTTTTCTTATGTCTCTTGGTGATATGTATTTCCTCTTTGGAGAAGTGTCTATTTAGGTCCTTTGCCCATTTTTCAACTGGATTGTTTGTCTTCCTTTTGTTAAGTTGTATGAGTTCCTTATATATTTTGGATATTAAACCTTTATCAGATGTGTCATTGGCAAATATGTTCTCCCGTACAGTGGATTCCTTTTCATTTTGTTAATGGTTTCTTTTGCTGTTCAGAAGCTTTTTATTATGATGTAGTCCCATTTGTTTATTTTTTCCTTTGTTTCTCTTGCCCTAGGAGATGTATTGGCAAACATATTGCTACAAGAGATATATGAGATTTTGCTGCCTATGTTTTCCTCTAGGATTTTTATGGTTTCAGGCCTTACATTTAAGTCCTTTATCCATTTTGAGTTTATTTTTGTGTATGGTGTAAATTTGTGGTCTAGTTTCATTGTTTTGCATGTATCTGTCCAATTTTCCCAACACCATTTATTGAAAAGACTGTCTTTACTCTATTGTATGCTCTTGCCTCCTTTTTCAAATATTAATTGACCATAATGGCATATGTTNCACGTTCTTCCCTTCTTTGTCAAATATTAATTGACCATAATGGCTTGGGTTGATTTCTGAGTTCTCTATTCTGTTTCATTGATCTATATGTCTGTTCTTGTGCCAGTATCAGGCTGTTTTAATTACAGTGGCTTTGTAGTATAACTTGATATCTGATATTGTGATCCCTCCAACTTTGTTCTTTCTCAAGATTGCCATGGTTATTCGAGGTCTTTTTTGGTTTCACACAAATTTTTGAAGTGTTTGTTCTAGATCTGTGAAATGCCCTGTTGGTATTTTAATAAGGATTGCATTGAATATATAGATTGCTTTGAGTAGTATGGACATTTTAATGATGCTAATTCTTCCAACCCATGAACATGGTATATTCTTCCACTGGTTTATATCTTCCTCTATCTCTTTTTGCAATGTCCTGTAGTTTTCTGAGTACAGGTCTTTTACCTCCTAGGTTAAGTTTATTTCTAAGTGTCTTAATTTTTTTGTTGCAATGGTAAATGGGATTGTTTTTTAGTTTCTCTTTCTGAGGATACATTATTGGTGTATAAAAATGTCATCGATTCCTAGGTACTAATTTCCTGCTACCTTGCTGAATTCATTTATTAAATCTAGTAGTTTTTTGGTGGAGTCTTTAGGGTTTTCTATGTACAATATCATACCATTTGCAAATAATGA